ATCCGTGTTGCCCCGTTATTTCGAAAAAGCTTTCATTTGGCGTCTCGAACGTGTCGTGCATGTTTTCTAGTATTCTGCAAAATTCGAGCAACCATTTTCTTGTACGACTTGATATTTTGCACTTTTTTGTGCGATGGCTCCTGGAAAAAAAAAGGAAATTCACAACTTATTCCGTACTTGTTGATCTTTGGGCCCAGTGGCACACGCGGGATAAGACGTCGCCAATACAGATTTCGTAGGGAAGTTCGTAATTCCGGAGTGTAAGGGAGCACAAAGAAATTTTAGCACGAGAAACAGGAAAGAATAAACCATCGCGCCAAACATGGTCCTTATATAATGCGTTTATTCCCGCCTTTGACCCATACAATTAATTTGGCAGCGTTGACCTCACATTGGGATAATAAGGGATCGATGCATGTGATGGCTTTGACGTCAATATGAGAAAGACGCAGAAACAAAGCTCTGGTAATGAACAGTAACTTCATAAACAATTTTACAGCACAGGAGTATGAGGAGGTGAGGTGGAGGTCAAGTCGCTCGCCTGCTGACCAATGGTCAGCAGCAACGGTCAGAGTAGTTGGAACTGCGTCACTGGTGAACCACATTATGAACTGCAACGGCTCAAACCTAAGAAAAAAGAATTTAAATGGTACCAGTTTTGCGAAGAAAAAAACCACAGGGGTATGTGCCCCTACTGGTCGGGAGCGCTCATTCCGCGATTTTCTAATTCTCAGCTAACAGAGACTGATGTTCCTGCGGCATCGCGGGATAACCTGAAATATCCTGATCACGAATGAAGTACCATTTATGAGGCAATAATCAGCACCGGCACAAAGACTTCAGTTATTCCAAACATGCGTATTTCTTATTTCATCGGCCGTTAAAACTTTCTGTTTCAACTCTGGCACTACTCAAACAACGAAGTCCACGCGAGCAACTGTGCACATCATTTGACGTCATCGAAAACTGAATCGGAACTAACCATTTCCCCCGAACACCCAATCCAACCCTCTGTCTTACCGATTCCGAGCTCATCCATAGTGGGACGAAGTGTACCAGTGGCTTTTTCAAATGCTCCAAACACCGTACAGATGTATTTATGTTTACTTTCGTTCGTTGAGATACATAGATTGGTTGTAAAGCAAATTCTGATTCTTCAAGTTGCTTTGACTAACGCTGCATTGCCTAGGTGGTCAGTCTACTGGCATTTCTGATGTTTGTTTCGTGGATGCTGGGTTATCCTGTGCAAGAATGAAAGTTCAAATCCAAAATTTATATATTACAAAACTAAAAGATAAGTTATACACAAGAAAAAGGCATACGCAATCAAAAAAGAAAAGAAAATTACAAACAACAAATATCACATTTCTGAGGAAGGAGAACTTTAAAAAAGCAAAAAAAAAGCTGCCAAAATAAATACTGAAATGCGAAAGAGCTGCTGCGATAAAAACAACTGGAGAAATGACATGAAGGAAGAGCTGTACAACATAAAATAACGCAAAAATCAGTGGCGATATGAGAGAAAGAAGCAACTGGCCATAAAGGGTCATCAGCCAGAAACACGTAGAAATGTATTCACAACAGATAAGTGGACAATGCATAAGTACTGCCACGACAAAGTAGCAAACAAAAACATATGAGAGAAGTGAAGTGTGAAAATAAAAGATGAGAACACACATGATAAGTTTTATACAAAATGATGATTATGGAAGGACGAAAGAGAACTGGCCTGAAATGCGTAACTGCAAGCAGATCAATCACAACAATAAGCAGAAACGAGCATTATTAAGCAGAATGGTAGAATGCAAAAACTGTGTAAATGAATGACATCAAAGTTTGATATGCAAAGGATTTTTTCTGTAAAATTTGTTTCAATTTGCCCAAAAGTGCGGTAAAATTTCGCGCCAAGCTTGTAAATACGAAACAAAGTAATCTGTTCTTAAAAGAGCCAAAAAGCTACGATAGCGGGACTGGAACGTCTAAATTTCAATGCATTAACATTACTAACACGGAAATCACACACTGAATATTCGGGCGGCCTCTCTAGTTCACCCGAAGTGGAAATTCAGTAACCAAAAAGGGCGCTAAAACTGTCCTTTAACAAAAAAAAAGGAAAAAAGAAAAAAGGTGAAAAAAGAAAAACTAAGTAGCGATATATGAAGTTCAATTCCAAGCCAAATATGCCACGCTGAGTCAAAGTAAGACCTATTTTTTTAAGATCTATTTTTGAGATCCATTTGATAGGCATCTATAAAATAGATCTCAAATTAACTGTCAGCATGCCTTTT